TCCCTGTTAACAAATATGTGCAGGGAGAGATTCATTTGCGGCTGCAAGCAGCACAAAGAGCTCCCCACCTGACAGCGGGTCCGAGGACATTATGATAACAGTAGGAGCTTAAGTTCAAGAGTTTTCCTGACATCACCAAGTCCTTCCCCTCCCAACCCCCCTGCTGTGCAAAGCCTGATTCATCGCTCTGCCGCCTTTGTGTTTCAAGCTGGTCCTTCACAAAAAGATTTCACAAAGAACAGCTGGCTTCTCCATCTCTGACATAAAAGTGGTCTTGAGTTCCAGAATCTCAAGGCTGTTGAATTTCATTCTTGGACATGTGTCTCTGTCAAAAATAATAATAATACAAAAAAAAAGCAGGTGCTAAGGGCACATCACAGACAATGACAGGGAAATGCTTTTAAGACCCCTCTTTTCTCCCCTACCCTTTCGTTCTTATGTATAAAAATAATACAGAGGGAAATTGGTCATTTGTAGAGATGCTTCTTTCGATTGCAGCAGAAAAGCTGGGGGAATGGGAAGCCAAAAAAGGGGCATCAGAACTTTAATGTAAAAGGTTGATGCCCCAAAAGCATTTCAAGCTGTCATCGGTCTTTTTTCGGAGGATAAGTTTTAAAATACAATGAACAGTAAGAGTGTTATATACACATGCAGGCAGACACCTGAGCTGAACCTCTGTTAAGCAAGCTTTTGTTTCCCAGATTGTCTTGCTACTTATGCCCAGTGCTTAAAAAAACACCACACACACAAAAATGTTCCAGTACTCACCATGAAGTTGTTACAGTGTCACAGTTTTAACGTTTGAGTACCCCCAGAAAGGGACGCGGGTGGCACTGTAGTTTAAGTCACTGTGCCGCTTGGACTTGCCAATTGGAAGGTCAGCGGTTTGAGGCCCCACAATGGGGTGAGCTCCTGTTGTTCGGTCCCAGCTCCTGCCAACCTAGCAGTTCGAAAGTACACCAGTGCAAGTAGATAAATAGGTACTGCTCCGGCGGGAAGGTAAATGGGGTTTCTGTGCGCTGCTCTGGCTTCGCCACAAGCGGCTTAGTCATGCTGGCCACATGACCCAGAAAAACTGTCTGCGGAAGCGGACAAACTCTGGCTCCCTCGGCCTGTAAAGCAAGATGAGCGCCGCAACCCCAGAGTCATTCGCTTCTGGACTTAACTGTCAGGGGTACCTTTACCTTTACCTTTACCTTTACCCCCAGAAAATGTGGGATGTATTACTACTAGAGCTGTCAAGTACAACATCTTCCTGTTGCCTAGAATGGACACACAGGGGAATGTGGCTCCAGACAGGGAGGACTTCCTGTCATACCTGCTCTGGAGCTTCCTCACCCTGTGTGTGACCAGGTAAAAAGGTAAAACATAAAGGACCCCTCGACAGTTAAGTCTAGTCAAAGGCGACTATGGGGTTGCAGTGCTCATCTCACTTTTTAGGCTGAGGGAGCTGACATTTGTCCACAGACAGCTTTTTCCGGGTCATGTGGCTAGCATGACTAAACTGCTTCTGGCACAAGGGGACACCGTGATGAGTGTCAGAGCGTGCGGAAATGCCGTTCACCTTTCCATCACAGTGGTACCTATTTATCTACTCGCACTGGTATGCTTTTGAACTTCTAGGTTGGCAAAAGCTGGGACAGAGCAATGGGAGCTCACCCCGTTGTACAGATTCAAACCGAAAGGGCTTGTCATGCAACCATCTCTCTCTTGGAGTCTTACTCTCTTACTCTTAGACTCTCACTCTCCTGGCTCTTAGCCAGAGCCTGGCTCAACCTTCACATAGGATGGAGCCCACAAGCAGAAAGTCTGAGATGTAGCTCAGGGTTCTTTTCACTGTAACCACAAGATAAAGCCTGCCTTCAGATTACTACTGTGAACTGAATGTGAGTAAAACTTTATTCTTACTTTTAAAGAAGATTGTGTTGTGTTATTATTATTTTAAGAGGGAAATAAAGGGGAAACTTGCCTGGGACTGGATTGCTTAATCAAAGGATACTAACAAATCATCAACTTGCTACCAATAAGTTGCAAAGGGAATGTGCTCTGCTGTTTACTCACTAGCGTGAGTGAGGACGGATAATATGAAAACAATATATCCTCTCCTACCTACCTTAACATTCCCACAGAGAAAAGCACTACTTACGCTCCTTATTTTTGTTGCTTGATGCATTGACCCAGCTAAAGAGCTCTGTGCATGTGAACAGGCTTGTTTGTAGGTATGAATTGGGGTACAGGCATGAATTGGCAGATGCTATCACATGCACTTGCCAAGCCCAAGTGTCTTATGCATATTTTACTGCACCTGAGTAAGACTGCAAAGCTGTCTCCAGTGCACTGCATTCAAGTGTGCGTCTCCTGGCACATTTCCATCCAACAGTTGTTGCTGGCATCTGTCTGTCTCGAAAGAGTGCACCTCTGGGGGTGAAGTTAAACCTCTGTGTGAGCAGCACCGGTGACCTCCCTGAGGCACAAACTTGGTCAGTGTGTCTGGCTGCCCAGACAACAAGACTCCCCTCTCAGTCACACTGACGTGGTCCAAAGGAAAGCAGAGCAAGACATTTAGCGCTGGCTTGGCTGCAGGAGCTGCCGCAAGAAGGCTTACAAGGCACCATCTAACTGTCTTAGGGACTCCTCTCTGGATTTGTGTAGGGGTTAACCCTTAGCCTTTTCTTCTCCCAAAAATGTCCCACAATTATCCATCTTCTAGGTGGGCTGCCTCCCCAGGTGGATGAGCCCCATCTGCCCCTCATTTCCCTCTACAGCATATGGACAGCTTGTTTTGCATGCCACTAGAGCTGAACTGGTGGCAAAACGTCTACAACACCATCCCAAAGAATTGGGATGGATCCCATTGGGGTATCCAGGAATTACCATACTGCTTTGCATACAGAAGGTTGAATCCCTTACATTTCCAGGTAGTTTTTGGAAATCTTCCCTGTCTGAAACCCTGCAGAGATGCTGCCAGACACTTTATATGCATTTTATTTCATACCTTTCCATTCTACCCTTCTTTGAGATTAACACCAAGTTTGGCTAGTGGTATTAAAAATCACCAAAATAAATCAAATGAAAAGTACAGGTAATACCAGAAGTGGATAACAAACTAAGAATTGTGACCTAGGAGAGGCCAAGCATATCAGCATGTATTTTAGAATTTGTTTCTGTAAATGGCTGATTTTATATTCTCTGTTTTCTGAATAAATCAGTCAGGTTACCTTGCTCCTTACAGACCTGTGCAGTCACTACATTCATTTGATGAGGCCCTGCTGATGGCGCCACATTCTCCTGAAATCCATTTTTCAATACTTGGAGCGGGGCCTTTAGTGAGAAGGCATCTGCCATGTGGAACAGGTTCCCTTTTGAAATAAGGAATGCGCTGACCACTGTGTGCTTCTTGTGTGTGCTGAACATCTTTCTGCTGATCCAAGCCTTCATTTGCTGCTGATACTAATGGGTTTATATCACTGGATGCTGTGGGAATTGCATCTTACTGTATTGTTTTGTGTTCTTCACTTATGGGTGCGAGCCTTCCAATTGGAGAACAGCTTTTACCAAAGGTGTCATGGACTTTGAAGAAGTATGAACTCAGGACGAAAGGGAGAAATGTGCTAAGAGGAAGGCACGCTTGGCAAACCCTCACCCTGATCAACTCCCACCCAGAAACCTATGTCCCCACTGTGGAAGGACGTGTGGATCCAGAATTGGCCTCCACAGTCACTTACTGATTCACTGTTAAGAAACCGTGTTCATGCAAGACAATCTTACTCGGCTACAAGTGATCACCAGAGAGATGATGACGACGACGAATTATCTGGCTATTGTTCTGCAGGTAGCAGCTGGGATGGGGTGGGGAGTCCCACCTATTTGTTCTGTGGCACTGAGCAACGTCTTTGGTTATGATGCATCATGGTAGTTCACAAGCCAGACAAAGATGTTACCTTAAAAAGGGAGCTGCATGGGCTGGTTTCCTCCTATGGATTCTACCCCCCCCCCCGGACCACAGGTTAGGAAGGGGCACAGGGTATCATCTAGACTGACCCCCCCTAACTCATAACACTATATTAAGTGCTGGGTTCAGATCTGCTTGGACTCCCTTCCCCCACCTCCACTCCAGACCACCTGACCCTGGACATTCATCCCTCACTCCTGGACGACTTTCCAGACTGTGCCTGAGTGAGAAACCCGTAGCAATTCATCGGTGAGAGGAAAGCCCTCTGCCCATGCTCAGAAGCAGCGGGTGACTGCAACCGTTGCAGGATGAGACCGCGCCGTCCCCGCGCCTACGGCTCCAAGGAATCTGCTTTGCTGCTGACAAGCGAGTCCCAAGCGGAAGAGAAAGCGAAGCTCCCTATTGCCTGTTGTTGCATAAAGTGGGAAACACACAGTGACGCCTGGAACCAAGGGTGGGGGGGGTGAGGGAGGAGGAGGAAGAGGAGGAGGGGGGAAGGGGCTCAGTGGCTCCCAGCAGGGCTTTCCCCAGGGGATCTGCGGAGGGCGGACAGAGGGCGCGCTCCGCAGGGGGTCTGGGCTCCCAGGGCGCTGGAAAGGGGCGGGCTCCCCCTCTCTGACCCTTCTTCGCCCCCTCCTCTTTCCCCTCCCCCGCTGGGGGGGCTCGTTTGCTGCATCCTCATTGTCATTCCTTCCTCGCCTCCTGATGTCACCGCCTCCCTTCCCTGCCACGCACGGCGGGGAGGGGAGAAAGGGGGGAGAGGGAGGACCTTGCCGCCGCCGAGCCGCGCGCTCAGCCCCGGATGCATGACTTCATCCTTCCGCCTGGGTTTCCTTTATGGTGTAGGGTTGTCCCAAGCGCTCTGCTCAGACGCTCGTCGAGGCTGCTGGACGCCGCACGCGCTCGATCGCTGGCTCCTTTGCTCGCCTGCCCCAATTGCTCAGCGCCTCTTGATCCTCTCGGAGCCTCGCCCCCGCCTCTGTCTCGCTCTCTGCGTGGAGCAGAAAGTGACCCAGGTGCCGCCGCCGCCGCCGCCGCCGCCAGCACCATGTCTGAGATCCTGCCCTACAACGACGACAAAGTGGCCCGCTATGGCACCGACTCGGAAGTCGGAGACATCTCCTTCAGCTGCCGCCTGCAGGACACCAACTCCTGGGGCAACCAGTCCAAGCGGCCCCCCAAGCTGGGCCAGATTGGCAGAGCCAAGCGAGGTAAGGAGCATCGTCCGCGCGCGGCTGCTTGCTTGCTTGGGTACACACCTCGGGGCACCGTCCCCGTGCGCCCCAACAACAACATCCCTCCCTCCCCAGTCCCACCTCTTGCCCATCTGCTGCCCCCGCAAGAGAAGGAAAAGGGAAGTGTTTCACCCCCACCCCTGAGAGCCGGACTTCAGTCAACCTCGACAAGGCTGACCACCCCCCATCCCGCGCACCCCTCTTTTTCCTGTCGCTGTGGTTACATATCCTAGCTGGGGTGCCGCAGGCGGAATCTGCTGGAAAGGGAGAAAGAAGGGTGGTTTTTTTGGTGGTGGAAGTGGGGAGTCTTTTCCCTCGTTCAGCGCCCCTCCACCGCACTCTTTAAGCTGAGCTCCGATCTGAGCCATTTGCCACAAGAATTCCAGTCATAACTACTCCTCTCCTCACCCAGCCCAGACCCCTCCACATTCCCCCAGGGCTAAGCGCCCATAGAGCTGGCCCGGAGCCGGCGCGCCTCAGTCCCCATCTCCTCCCGCACGTTCCGCTGGCTGCGCTCCCTCTCTAATCACCTCCGCTGGCTCTGCGCTCCGCAGCCAGCCACCATCTGGGAAGGATGGGGAGCCATTTTCCTGGAGCGGGTTTCATTACCAGATGTCAAAGGAGGGAGGGCGGGAGATCCAGCCCCATGGCTGCCCCAAAGGAGCGGCGAGGCTGGGGAGGGAGGGGGGTGCTTTAAGTGTGGCCAACGCCAGGTCTTAAGTACGCAGGATGAGGCCCCCACCCCGCGTGTCTGTTCCCCCTTTCCATTCTGACGGCGTGTTTTTTCTGCGTTTGCTCTCCTGTCCCTGCAGTGGTGATCGAAGACGATAGAATAGACGAGGTCTTGAAGGGGATGACAGACAAGTCGCCTTCTGGGGTATAAATCAGCACGGAAGGCGCCTGCACCCAGCTGCAGACTGATCCCTGAATTTTTAAAGCACTTTTGGCTGCGCATGTTTGTTGGGATTGTGGACAACAAGGAAAGCAAAAGGAAGGAGATGAGGCTGCTGGCAACACCCTCCACCCCCAACGCAGACCCCCAGCCCGAAGAGGTCACTTGACGGGGGCCACCATCTCACCCTCCTCCGCATCCAACGGAGAGCATAAGGGACAAAGAGACCTTGCCACCCAACTCTGTCCTGGTTACCAATGCACGATGCCCATCCCCGGAGTTGCATCTTCAACAACAGCCCTTCTAGAAGGGGCTTCCTCTCTCTCTCCCCCAACCTGCCCCTTCCTTCCTCCCTTGCGGAATGGAGCTCTTGCGTCTTGGAGAGCTGTCCATTTCAGCACCATCGCTTGACGCGCGGAGCCGTCCGCTCCAGCACCATCTTTCCGACGCGCCTGCAGCTCGGGGAGCTGTCCATTGCAGCACCATCCTCTTGGAGGCTCTTGCTGTGGAGCCGTCCATTGCAGCAGCGCCTTTCCCTGCGCCCGTGCTGGGGTGCTGCCTGTTTTCCCATGTGCCCGAACCTTCCATCATCCTGCCCTCCCCCCTCCCAATTCCTTCTGTCCAGCCCTCAGCAGCAGCAGTGTAGAGTCCCCTCTTTGGCTTGGGCGACCCCCTCCATGCCACGATTTGAAGGTGCTGTTCCTCTGAGAGCTCTGAGCCACTGGATTGCCCAGCTCTCTCCATTTTTAAGGGTGGGGGGGAGGTCTCCTGAAGCGATGCACTTTACGCCTTTCACATTTTCGGGGTGGCTGTGTAGCTGACATCTGCATAGACGTAGAAACGAATATACATACACACACTTATACAGACACACTTGCGCGCGCACTTCTCTAAATATAACAGGTTCATCGTGTTTGCAGTCATGGCGTCTATATTCCAAACCGGCAACCATCCCGTAATACACAGTAGCTCCCCCCCTGAAATATAACACCAACCTGTAAAACCCAAGCCCGTTTGCAAAATACCAGCAAACCCAAAGCCCAAAGCCAGCAGTGCTGAGTGGAAGACAGAGGTTCTGACATGGATGGACTATAACATAAAAGACAGTGATTGTTTTGCTGTCGAGAGACATTTTTGCTCCATCTTTTTTGCATGAGCTTCCTGGTCTTGGTGCCACGTCTTGGTGCCACTAGTCATCCCACTATGGCACGCTTCTTTTTAACAGAAACTCCTCATATTTGTATTTTTATATCTGAATATTTGTTAACAACAATCTGCTAATGTCTAATGTCAAAAACGTTGCATCAAAAGATTGTTTGTATTTTTTTCTTCCCCATAAAGGCAAGACAGAAAAGGTTTTATAAGATGGATTTCCCCCTTGGAAGGCAGATATAGAGAAATAGTTGGCACTCTTAATTATATATCAGTATTGGACAGGACTTCTTGAATGTGTTTGAGGTTTTGCACACATCATCGTTAACAAGAAATGTATTTAAAGAGTCTTATACTGTGATCAATGGCTTTGTTGATGGACTTTGTAGGAACATGAAGAATTTAGAAAACAAAATACTATTGCACTGTTTATGAATGTGTTCAGATAACTTGCTGGTTATTTGATGCCTCTTTATTATAAGGGGATGTTCAGAGTTGTTTTTAATTTTGTACTTTAATTTATTTATTTTTTAAAATAAGCTTATTCTTGTCCGTTGTGCATGAGAAACCTTCATCTTTTCAATAATATACGACATTTTATGAAGACAAGCAAAAAAACAAAAATTATTGTCATGACATTCTAAGAATGACCCATTGTAAATTTTAATGCCATTTTTCACTGTACTGGTGAACAAAACTTAATGAATAAATACATACATGTACTGAAATGGAAGCAGCCAGTTCTGGGTATCGTCCTTGGCAAAGATTGTGCATGATCTATAAGCCAGCTTATATCAGACCAAAACCTGCCACTGCAACTTCACCACTGGCCAAGGGCTCAGATCCCTGTTAGAGAGGTTGTTTAAAAAGCAATTACTGTGTTCTCTTGAGGAATCCTATAGAAACCCTGCTGAGAACTTTGCTGGGCTGCAGACCTTGGAAAAGGGTACCACCTCTCTGTTTTTCTATTGAGCAAGAGGCTTAGTGTGTATGAACTGTGTGGATAGACCCAGGCATTCAACTGTGCAGATATTTCAGCTATTGAAGCCTAAATCTCTGCAGTTGCCTGATTGGGATGTCGAGAACTAAATGACCTAGTTTTGCTTGATAGACAGAAATAGAAATTCAAGCAGCTGAGCAGCTTGTGGATGTTAAATATTTCAGCAGAGCCTCTCAAAGGAGCTGCCCTTTTTGCCTTTGGGAGAGGAAAAGGACTCTGTGGAGACAGAAGGTGGTGCAGAACTCTGCTAGGAGGCCAGTCCCAGAGGCATCTGCATTGTGCAGGGAGTCGATGCCCAACAAGACAATACTGCTGCATTTTTGTCTGTAGTCTCTATCAAGAAGGTGGGCTGACAGCAGCATAACAGAACCTGGTGGCCCAGGGAGCAGGGAGACATTATCATGATGGTTAGCAGGTCCTTCGGTAGTTTTGCTTGGGGACAGGTGGGATTTCATACCTTTGGAGCCATTCGTGAGATTATGGATCCATTCCAAGCAGGAGGCCTTGAGAATGTCCTTATGAAATGTTTGCAGTGAGAAGGGACTCTAGGGAGAGACAGGCCTGTTTATTTCTCCTTCTGCTCACCCTGGGATTGATCTGGTCTCCATAAAAAACAAAACACATGCACACACAAAACTGAAACCAGTTTGATTTATTTAGTGGAACCTAGCTACTGTTTGGTTGGTTTGTTTTTGTCCAAAAATGCTCATGCTGCAAACCTCCAGCCAGAAAGTCGCTGCCAATGCATCTGATAATACAACACAGTGAGGCACTAAGCTCCATACATGCATTCGGGGAGGGAAAATACTGCTGTTGACCACACATGCCCATTCAGGGCCAGACCCAAGCACACACACATGCACACAAGGCAACGCAAACCATTCAGCTCACAAATCAGTTGGTACATATACCGACACACACACATCCCCATATCTGGACAGCTGTGACATCGATGCAGGTACTGAGAACAACACAAAAGGTTACTGATGCATAGCCAGAGTAAGTGTGCACATACGCTCCTGCAAACAAATGTGCAGCATTCACACACAGCCATAGGCATCAACAGTCATGTGTGTGCATGCATATACAACCCCCCTCCACAAGAAATCACAAACATAACACTCCTGTTTCTAATCAAGCTATATTTGCAGTCTCTGAACACCCCTACCATTGCAATTCCAAAAATACTAGTGTATGTGTTTGAGACTCTGTGAAACATATGGTAGATAGGCTGGGGAAAATTATTTGTGACTACAGAATTTTTTTGTTTTAGTGGGGGGATGTCATTGTGTGCTCCACGAGAGTGTGCCCCTGTCTTTCAGTCTCTGTGCCAATCTCCCTGCCATGCTGCAGTCTCTGCTGATGCTTTTCCTAATGCCTAGGGCTCTCTCATCCCCAGTTGGTATAGCACAGGAATGTGCTTTACAATCAGACATTTTTATTCACAGGCCAGTTTCCCCCTCCTGAATAGCAATATTTAATTAATCACATTGCCTGGCACCCGAGATCCCCAGGCAGTCACCACTGAACACCTCTTCCTAGGAGTTCTAATGACTAAAGAAGGCAGCTAAAAGATGTAATACTTCTAACACTCAGGATCCCACTTACTTCTCCTCACAATGCATAATTAGCAGGTAGAATTCACTAGCATGAGATCCAGCGAAGGCATCATGAAACAGTAGCATTAAGAGGACTGATCTAATGACAAAATTCAATCAGATTGTAATGATAGTTAAGAATTGTGCAGCTTGTTTTCAGCAAAACAGCAGCTACAAAAAACCCACTTCCTCCATTCAGGGACTGTGTTAACCATCTGTCTTCCTTGTGTCTTCATAACAGCTGTTTAGATACTTGTAAGTGTGCTTGTGGACAATCACAGTCACCCTTCACTAATCTTGGTGGGTCATCAGCTGATAAATCCTAGTAGAATTCTTATACTGGGAGCAGGACTTTGAAAGCTACATATTTACTGAGTTTCTCTTGGGGAAATTAACATTGCTGCCTACTTCAGTATGGGAAATCACATAATTTGTGAGGCCACCCACCTCTGCCAAGTGTGGACCTCATCATGTGTTCCTGAGGCTTTGTTTGGGCTGTCTCTGTGGTGAAAGGAGGCTGTAGATGCAGAACTTGGATTTTGGGGGTTCACAGCTGCTGCTGCTGCTGCTGCTGCATGATGAAAAGCAAAGATGGGGAGCCTGAAGCCTCCAGATGTTGCTGGACTCTAACTCCCATCAGCATGATGAATGGTCAGGGATGATGGGAACTGTAGTCCAGCAATGACAGGAAGATCACATGTTCCATGCCCCTGATCTAAAACATGAAAAGTATAGAATAAGCAACTTCTAGTAACTAATGAGGGTGAATGCTTGTCCTGACAGTCAAAGAAGCAAGAGGATAATGTGTGTATGCTTTCTCTTCTCTTCTCACTTTACCAAGGCCAGCCCTACTGTCAGGCAAAGTGAGGCAGCTGCCTCTGACAGCAGATGATGGCAGTGGTGGTGAGAGCAAGATGCTGAAGAAATGCTGGTGAGCAGCATTTCGTGTGCCAGGAAAACTGCCCTTCACCTGCTAAGCCAACCCACTCCCCTCAGTGACAAGGGAGGGTGCTGCCCCCAATAGGGAAGTTTGGTTCAACTGGTAGCCCAGTCAATTTTTATATGTGTCAAGGGAAGGGCACCATCATGTTGTTCACCTCAAGCAGTTCATCTTGGGCAGGCGGCTTTCTTCTTCTTCTTTTTACTTTGAAAACTTTTCCTTTTATTATGAAGTGTAAATCTGTACATTGTGCAATTTTTAAAAGGGCTTTCTTCTCCACCTCTTCCTCCTCCTCCACAAT